TATATATATATATATATATATATATATTTTGAATGATTCTTTATTAGACTTATAAATTCAAGTAAATGAACGTGAGAAATAGAATCTAAATAAACAAAACTAGTTGATTTGCCCCTTTTCATTGCACCCGAGATATACGTGAAGCCTAAACCAAATTTTATTTTTGCAAAAAATTATTTTTAAAGTTAATCAATACAATTAATGTTATGATCGTGATTTTGAATCGTTCTCATCTACCTATATATATATATGAGATCAAATTTCTCTCGTTAACACATAAAAAACATTATTCTTATTAGTCTCTCTTCAGTAGTATTTTAAGGTTCAATTTTCTAAAAAGAATTATATATGCAAACTTCATACAACCAGTGTTGATATTCGGGAGTATTGTGAAACCTTGAGGAACGATCGGTTGATCTAAACTATTTATACCAATAAGACTTGCCACGATAGTGATTTGAGAGGTTCTATAACTTTTTAGTTATGTTCAATATTAATATTATAGTATTTTTCTAATAATTTGAAAGTGACTTTCTGCATAAAATATTGATCATCAGCTAAGGCATATTGCCATTATACCAACGATACTAAGAGCAACAAATATATGAGAGAAATATTCATTTATGAAACGATCGATGGTAATTAACTAATTATAGGGATTGTCAATCCAATTTTCATTATGAATATATGTTTGTAATTACAAACTTTTAAATATACATAAAAGAGAATTTACTAGTCAATGCTAGTAGTAGCTAATTAGTTATTCTTTAATATGATTACGAACAATCTCTTCATGCCTAAGCATGAGTTTATATATGTGCAAAACTTATAATGATGGCTTCATTTTATTCTTTTTACAAAATATATATTCATGAATTGAAATTTCAAATCATTTTCTCCTGAGAATTCATATGTCAAAAAATCGTATGTTCAGACACTAATTGACGCATATCTAAGAGCAGGATTTAAATTTTCTTTTCTTGGAACAACTGAACAAAGAAAATGTGATTTAATTTGAGATGGAAATTATAGCAAATACCACATTATCATTTTCAAAATAACAATTGCAATTGGGATGTAAGTAGTCCAACAGAGAACAATACATCTTGGGATTTCACAATTACAAGGTGGTAACAGAGGCCATCTGGGCTCCATAACCTCTCTTTCAAATCAAAAGTTTCAAAACAAGAAAAGAGTAATAACATAGTTCAGCAATGGACAAGCAGCAACCTTTGCCAAATGAACGATAAGTAGCAGAAAGGGAAGAAACCCGAACAATACAATCACTTAAGAGTCTGGTAGACTTTCATTTTATTTAGCAGCAGATATTATACCCGTTTGTTTCTCGTATACAAACTCTCCAGCAGTAAATGGTTGTTTCTCTCCGGATTGGATACTTCTCTTTACGTGCAGATGTCCACAATACGCTACCTCTAATACAGTTGAATCCTTGTTAAGCTCAGTAAAGATGGAACCTACTCCTTCACCTGGATTAATGAAAGAAGAGT